TTAAAACCACAGTTCCTGAGTCACCAGTCAGGGAAGATGCATTGACTCAGAGAATTGACATCAGTTGTGCCAACCCTCCTTGGCAATGCCAAGGAAGGCTGTGGGATGGAGGGGATGGAGCTGGGTGTGGGATGGAAGGGATGGAGCTGGCTGTGTGTTGGAGGAGATGCAGTTGGCTGTGGGATGGAAGGGATGCAGTTGGCTGTGGGACAGAGGGGATGGAGCTGGCTGTGGGATGGAAGGGATGGAGTTGGCTGTGGGATGGAAGGGATGGAGCTGGGTGTGGGATGGAAGGGATGGAGCTGGCTGTGTGTTGGAGGAGATGCAGTTGGCTGTGGGATGGAAGGGATGCAGTTGGCTGTGGGACAGAGGGGATGGAGCTGGCTATGGGATGGAAGGGATGGAGTTGGCTGCACAACATGAGGATGCCCAGTCCCAGTGATGTCTCCCTGTAGAGGAAGGAGGCTGTTTTACAACACAGTAGCTGCTGGTGTTTTTCTCTTGTCTGAAAAGCCCCAACTTTACCAAAAAAATCCAAATGATACCAAGTGGAAAAGCAGCCAAAGTCATGAAACTCATTGAAGAACAGTGGCCTTTGAGATTTTTATTTCCTGTATGATGTTTCTGTGCATTGTCATGACCCTCCTCTCACTGCTGAATGGGAGTTACTGGGAGAAGGAGCATCCTGAGCAATGCCCTTATAAGAGTCAGAGAATCCTAGAATGGTTTGGGTTAGAAGGGACCTTAAAGATCACCCAGTTCCAAATTCCCTGCCATGGGCCACTATACCAGGTTGCTCCAAGCCCAATCCAACCTGATCTCAAACACTTCAGGAATGGGGCAGCCATGGCTTCTCTGGGCAACCTGTGCCAGGGCCTCACCACCCCTATAGTAAAGAATTTCTTCCTAATATCTAATCTAAAGCTCCTTTATTGTAGTTTAAAACTGTTCCCCCTTGTCCTGTCACTCTGGGCCCTTGCCCTAAGTCCCTCTCCAGCTCTCTTGGAGCCCCTTTAGACACTGGAAGGGGATCTCAGGTCTCCCTGGAGCCTTCTCTTCTCCAGGTGAACACCCCCAGCTCTCCCAGCCTGGCTCCAGAGCAGAGGGGCTCCAGCCTTCGGAGCATCTCTATGGCCTCCTCTGGACTCGCTCCAACAAGTCCACACCCTTCTTATGCTGGGGACTCCAGAGCTGGAGGCAGCTGCACTCTGATCAGTTCTCTTCTTTTGGGGCAGGTTGAGTGCCAACTACCCCGTCAGCTCCGACGTCCCCTGTGAGTTCCTGAGAACCACCAGGAAGGGCAAAGTGAAGCTCACGCGGTGCTACGCGGGCCTGTCCGGGGGGGCTGTGTCCTTCCTCCAGAGCACTCTGTGTGCAAACCCCTGGTAAGGTGCTGTCTGCTCTCCCAGCTGCACAGCTGGGGCAGATCCTGGCTATTGGCCCTCCTTTCTCTCCATGTGCAAGGAGCCTCCTCACCCAGCAGGGCTCCCTGACTGACCTCCTCACCTTTCCTGTTCCAGGGGAAGGCCGTCAGCCTCCGAGTGCCTTCAGAGCCCGTGGCTCCAGGAGACAGGTTTGGACAGCAGGCAGCAAGCACTGGTTACCTTCCCCACCACCAAACTGAGGAATTTCCTCATGGAAAGGGAAAAGAAGAGGGGCCTGCTGTGCTCCAAGTACGGCCTCATGATAGCACAGTGACATGGATGGGACAGGCAGGAACTGCCTCTCTGTCCCTTCTGCACTCAGTGTTTGGTATCAAACCGTCCTGCCAAGCTGGTGTCCATCAGCTGAGCTGGGGTCACTGGTCCCTGTGTCTGTGCTGGTGTGTCCTGCCTGCCACAGGCTGTTCCTGCGTATTCTGTGACTTGTTGGGTAACTGGGCCAGCAGACAGTGAAGGCAGCAAACGCACCAGTGACCACGGCCTTGTAACATGCACGTGTTGTCCTTTGGCACTTTGAAGCCAGGCTGCTCTTCCCTGGGGAGTGCACAGGCCCTTCTACCCAGAGATGTGCCAAAGGCTCCGTGTTTTAATTCTTTAAAAAAATCCTGACATTTCACGTTGTTTCTCCTTCCAACTCTCTTTTCCTCTGCAATGGGTGGTGTTGGCTGTGTCGTGGCTTTGTACTCATAACCTCAGTGCTCCTTCGAGTTTCTCTGCAGTGATTGATGTATCTGTTGGTCCCTGACTTCCTTTGATTTTCCACACAAGCAGCATTAAGTGGAGGCTTTCTCAGAGCTGTATCTGTCTGTGTTTAGAGGAAGGAACAGAAAACAGTTCCTGATGCATTGCAGTTGCATACTGGAGTTGAGGCTGTTTAACCAGGGATGGCCTTTCCCAACATGTTTAACCCCTGTTGTTCCAAACCTGAAGGATGCAGGTTGTGACTCCTTCCCTTGCTCAGTGTGCAGAGCAGGAGCTGTGACCTGGAATGTTTTCCCTGTGCTGTCGAGAGCAGGCACCAACTCAGCAGATTGTAAAACTTTGAATGTTGAAGGAGTATTGTCTTCATTAAGCTCTACAGGAGAGAAAACCAGGGGTTTAGGGACAGACTCCACACTCAGCTCTCTCAGGGGATAGAAGAGTTACACAAGACAGACACTGCAATGAGAGCTGCCCCCCAGTAAACTTTTCAAATTTATTCCTGGATTCCTTCCAATTTAACTTCTCTTACAAATCCAGTCAGGTTTTTGTTGGCACAGGCTGGTTTTTTACTCTTGCTGTTGCACTTTGGGATGGAAAGCTCAGTGCCAGGGGAGAACCTACCCAAGCATAAAATTTAATTGCAGATTAACTCACTTGGAGCTTTCACACTCTTCCATATATGACTTTTTTTTTTTTTTGCTTCTCACAACTGCATGCATTTGAGCATGTCTGAAGTCTTTTATAGACTCAACACTGTTTGGTTAAATAAACCATTCTGAAAAGCAAGTAAAGCCAGATTTTTCTGCTGAATGACTGTCATTATTTTTATATCCCTTTCCCAAGCCCAGTCTTTCACCCTCACTCTGACCTGGGGTCCCTACAAGTGATAACCAATGTACACTGTGTATCAGCAGGGAACAAGCTCCATGCAAACCATCCACATAAAAAATCCTTTTCCTAAAGCCTTGGAGTGAGGACATCACTTGGCCGGGATGTGATGATGGCTCTGAGCTCTCCAGCTATCCTAAGGCATTCCAGGGCATGGTTTGGAGTTTGAATTGACCAGAACTCGGGAAGAGCTCAAATTTAATTCTTGGTAGCAGAGCCAAACAATGAGCCCAGGGGTGACAAAAAAAAAGAGGTGAGAGCCAACATGAAAATTGTGAAAAGGTGCTGGAATTGATAATGGGAATATTAACTGTCACAGTCAAGCCTTGTCCAGTTACAGGTGGTTTTGGTTTTCCTTGGTTCTGTCAAAGCTGCTTGATAGTTTCTGCCTGAATTTCCACACCACAAGGTCTGGGCTAATGCCCAGTCTGGCAGGCTGGGATAGTTTGCCCTCAACATGCAGTTACAACATCCCCCTGCCCTTTGCAGAACAAAGCAGGATCTGCCTTTGATGTTTGGACATCTGTGAAAATAGTTTGAGTTTCATTCCTTGATAATATATAATCTCCAAAGTCCAAGGTTAGTGTCAGCATTAAAGTCAATCCACTGTTCTCTGTACAGGAAAGGCTGGGATTTACCACCTGTAAGGACTAATAATTTACTCTAATTATTGAAGGGGAATAAAGCCAAGCAGAGTTTGCAGGGGGCAAATTTTTATCTTGCATTGATCCAGCAGATAAAACAGATGTTTGAGGTCTATAAGGTCGCAGTGGCTGTAGCCCATAAGGGATTGAGGTTGTTTTCTCATGCCCCACTTAGGTTTTTGAGCCCCTTCCCATCACTCCATTCCTTTCCTTACAATCTCCTTGGGTATTTGCAGAGGATGGGGTCTAAACTGGGAGAGTGGGGATGTCTTGAATGCTCAGCCTCCTGCAGACCTGGAAAGGCAGGTGACCGCCTGCATTCCTAAGCCACATAAGCACATGAAAATGGTACTGCAGGTTCTGAGTGATGTTCACAACGCTCTTCTCCCCCTGATCTGATAAATGAGATGATTGGCAAGATCTGACCTTTCCTTACACATGAAATGGGAAGGAGCTGTTGGTATGTCCTTGTTCAGCACATCCCACTTCTGCTCCCTTTGGGGATCTCATCAGATACAAGAAGGGGACCACAGGCATGACAATTTGAATACTCCAAGGAAATTCTTACGTCTCTGGAAAGGATATTTGCTGCTCTCTGATCTTTCAGGGGTTCACTACAAGCTGGTGCCATCCTGCCAATGATACTTTATAAGTGGAAGTAAATAAATGTCTCAGTGAGGAGCTGATAACAAAATAACGCAGTCCTAGTGCTGGTGCACAGCAGCTCATCCCCACGCTCCCAAGGCACTTATTTTCCAGCTCATCTGGCCTGGTCTTTGCTTGTACAACTGCTCTCACACCAGTGCCAGTGCTGGCACCATGGACACACAGCTCCTTTGACTTGTGGTTTTGAATTTAAGGACAGGAATTTAATAAGACACTAAAACAAATCAGGGGGAGGAAGTGTATGGCATGTTTATACACAACCAGCCCCTTTTATCCCCTTACCTCTCAGTTTTCCTCCCCAAATCACCTAAATCCATCCTTTATGCCCCTTTGGTTCCTCCCCAAAACTATCCTACTTTAAGTCCTGTGCAATCCCAAAATCCTCTTCCCCTACACACCATAGGATGTCTGCCCTCCCTTGACAGAAATCCTCCTCCACATCTCCAGGGCTCTCATGCCAGGACCACGGGGCTGACGGCTCTGCTGGGACAGCCCTGGACAAAATACTTGTTCCTTGGAAGCCCTGAATTTGGGTTCCCACCTGTCAATATGCCCCTGTGCTCCTCTGGGTTTTCAACAGGCTGATGGCCACAGGGATGGGGCTGGGAATAGCCGCAGAGGGCACATTTTGTCTCTCTTTTATCACATATCCCAAAACCACAGTAACCGGAGACACAGAGCAGCAACACGTGAGACAGAGGTAAAAACACAAGCCATGATAAATGTTAAGCAAACAAGATCAGATCGGGAGCTGATAACCACGGGATCACACAATTTGCTCAGAGGTAACACCGGAACAAACAACACAACAGGGGCTTCCCAAAATCAAAAGCGGGGCCGGTATCTGAACCGAACATCGTGAACGGGCTGCATGGTCCCGAATCCCCAGCGGCTGATGTCTATCCCTGGGATCTCCTCTTCCTCATTGACCAGCTCCAGGTCATAGTGGCTCAGCATCAAGAACACAAAGAGTTTCATTTCAGCGCTGGCAAAGAACCGCCCGGGACAGATGGATACTCCTGCCCCCCAGGGCATGTTGACATATTTCAGCTTCTTCCCATTTTTGTAGAAATCCCTCTTGGTGCCATCTGGGTTCACGAAACGGTCGTACTTAAATTTGTGAGGCTCGTGGTGAATTTCTGGGTTCATCTGCACGGCGAGGTGAGGGAACAGAGCCACCCTGTCTCCCTTGCGGAGGGTGTACTCTGTCCCACTGCTTGTCCTGAGGCTGATGTCCTCCAGGACAGCTCTGACCAGCAGCGGGGCTGCCACCAGCCTAAGGGTCTCCTCCAGAGCACTGTCCAGAAGAGGAGCCTGGTTCAACATGTCCCTAGTGATGGTAACTGGACGGCTCCCTGCCTTCACTTGCTGCCCATTCTCCCTCAAGACTTTGTCTACCTCACCTCTCACAGCCTTCAGAGCTTCTGGATGCTTCAGCAGGTACAGGAGGAGCCAGAAGGCCGTTGGGCCCGTGTTGCCTTGGGACGCCCAGAGGAGCATAAACATGAAACGATCCCGCATGTACTCGGGGACACCGTTTTCTGCCAGAAGTTGGTCCTGATCACTGATCCACCCACTGATATTGTCCTTCTGCCTGGCCTTCTTCACAGACAGCACGCTCCAAAAGAGCCTCTTCAGCCGTTCGGCTTCTCTTTTGTCCTTGTGAGGCAACAGAGAGAAGGCCAGGCGAGGGAAGAGGCGGTCGTACTTCCGAAACTCCAGGAACAGCTGGTTGGAGTGGACACGATCTCGCTCCTCAGCTTTCTCCTTGTCTCCTGCCCCCTGGTGTGGCTCAGAGCCGTACAGAGCCAGGTACCCGGCTCTGAAGACGATGTTGTAGCAGTAGTGGAAGAGGTTCTCCTCCCGCCACACTCGCTTCTCCTCTCCTGGGCTCAGGTTGAAAAGCATCAGCTTCTGGAAGTTCTCCATGGTGGTTTGAGTCAGGACACTGAGCCCCTCTCCCGTCAGGTGCTTCACGCTCGATTCACGGGCTACGTTGTGGCTGGATTCGTTGGGCTTGTAGCCAAAAACCTGCAGGACCAGCTGAGTTGCAGCAGCCCTAAAGTCCAGTTTAGACCGTGATTCCTTCACGATGCTGCCAAAGCAGAAGGGGTCCATCACGAAGGTGAAGTAATAGCCACCGATCAGCACCGTGAAAACATCCCCGTGTTTCCTCCACATCCTTTTCAGAAACTCTGAACTGTCCTTCCTGAAATCCAGCAGGTAGCCCAGCCAGGGAATGGTGCCTTTGTCCAGGGGTGGCTCATCTGGTCTCTGTCTCCGAAACACCCCCAGGACATAGAGGCCACCGAGCAGCAACGACACCAAGGCACAGAGAAGAACCACCCACAGCCCCATGAGAGCTCCGTGCCCGTCTGGGAGCTGGGACTAGGGACGGGTTGGGGCAGGAATGTGCTTTCTATTCCCATCCAGCAGCTGATATGCAGAGACACAGCTGACAACCTCTGTCCCCATTGGCAGCTGGTGTTTGCCTGCCCCCACAGAGCACTCCAGTCTGAACTTGGATTTCTGAGGTGGGAGGGATGTTGTAATCCTGTTGGAGTACCCATGCTGTGTAAGGGGGATGGGTTTTGGCCTGGGCTCTGCAGCAGTTTAAGCAAATTTCCTTTTCTAGGGACATGGAGCCCAGTTTTTTTGGGGAAAAAAAAAAAAGGTTCAGAGGATTCCACTCCATGATTTCTGCCTTTAAGGCCAGGCTATGGAGAAGCACTGCAGGCTGAAAAAAATGAAACAAAGGGATGTTGGAAATGCTACTGGAAATGAGCTCAGGGAGAGGGTTACAGTCGAGCCAATTTGGTCTCCACAGACAAGAGAAGGAAAGGTCTCTAACATTTTGATGTTCTCCAAGGCACAGTGCCCTAGAAGTTTTTTCCCAGTGCTGCCACCCTGATCTGCACACACAGTCACCACAACCTCTGTCCCAGTCACTGGTGCCTGGACATCGCAGCGCCCTCACATTGGACAGAGAGTGACATTATCCCCTCGCTATTTCCCTCACCTTTGCCCTTCCCCTGAGAATCCCCTCGTAAGTTTTCCGCTGTCCCAAGAGTTCTCCTCTCTCTGGGATCGTAATCTTCATCTTCTTTCTTGCTTCCCAGCTGCTGTCCCTTTCCACGTTCCCTCCAGTGACCTGACCCGTGGAGTGAAGGTCACATCACAGCATCAGCTAAATGCATATTCTGACTTTGTTTCTTTAAGGAAAGCTCCCAGCCTCACCATTTTGGAAACACACTGTAGCAATGTTGGGAAGAAAAATAACAGCAGTGAAAACAAATCCATCTTTCCAGATCAACTCAAAGCCCTTCTCAGTCCTGTAACCTTGTCTAGCAATAAAACTATGGTGATGAGTGTTTTCTTTTAAATAATTCTTTTTTTTTTCTGTACAGTTCTAGGCAAGTCTAATGCTTAATAGATTTTCAGGCTGGAAAGGGACCATTTAAGGTTCAGGAGCATCTAGGGTGAACAATATATTTAAATAAAAGTCAGCAAACTCATAATCTTGAGCTTTAAAGCTACACTGGGTAATAAGGATTGGCCAACAGCTCCCTGTGCTCCTCTGTTCAGCCCATGATCTCACTCTGTGGTGTTGTGAAGCCAATATTTATGTTACAGTATCCATGGATCTTTTTTATCTTGTCAAAGTGGCTCTGTGGAAGTCAAATTCCTCCGTCACTGTTCTGCTGAGCCCACTTGTTTTCTCCTTCTCACTGGCTGTTAGTGGTTTCAACTTTGTTCTGATCAAACTGGTCTCAAATCAGTCTATGATTGAACTCATCTCTAACCAAGGATGTATCTCTTGGGGAGAGTTTCCTGCTCAGCAGGATGGCACAGCTCATCCTAACAGAGGAAACTGTCCCTGGGCAGACAACTCAGCTTAAAGGTGCCCAACTCCTCCTGTTATCTCTCCTGGTAGACAAAGGGATGATCCCAATTGAACCATCTGGCTCTTGCCATCTACCTGGCAGATGGTAAGACCCAGGAGAAGCAAAGCCATCCCCTGGCTGGGTTTCTGGCCTAGTGGATGAGTGTGGCAAATCTATTCCTGGGATTCTGGATTGATGGATGAGTGTGTAAAAGCTATTCCACAGCCCACACCATGAACTGGAAGGATAATGGGATTGCTCTCCTCCATCCGACCCTTTGGAATCTATAGAAGAGAACGTCTGCATGTTTCACAGAATCACAGAATATGCTGAATTGGAAGGGACCCACAAGGATCATCGAGTCCAACTCTTAGCCCTGCACAGGCCCATCCCCAGGAGTCACACCCTGTGCCTGAGAGGATCATCCAAACCCTCCTGGAGCTCTGTCAGCCTTGGTGCTGTGCCCACTGCCTGTTCAGTGCCCAACCACCCTCAGAGGCAAAGATCTTTTCCTGACATCCAACCTGATCCTGACAGAGCTCCAGGCCGTTCCCTGGGGTCCAGTCCCTTGTACCCCCAGAGCAGAACTCAGGGCCTACCCCTCCTCTGCCCCTTCCCAGGAAGTTGGAACAGCAGTGAGGTCTCTCCTCAGTCTCCTCTTCTCCAGCTGAACACATTAAGTGCTCTCAGTGTCCTCACACAGCTTCAAATCAAGGCCCTTCCCCATCCTCGTGGCCTCCTTTGGACACTCTCCAATGGCTCAATATCTTCCTTATATTGCTGTGCCCCCAAACTGCCCCAATATTGCAGGTGAGGCCGCCCCAGGGCAGAGCAGAGTGGGACAATTCCCTCCCTGATGCCCCCCAGGACAGGGTTGGCCCTCCTGGCTGCCAGGGCACTGCTGAGTCATGGCCAACTGGCCACCAACCTGGACTTCCAGGTCCCTTTCCCAGCACTGCTTTCCAGCCTTTCATTCCCAGTCTGTCCATACATCCAGGGTTGCCCCATTCCAGGGGGAGGATCCAGCACTTCCCCTTGTTGAACTTCCCATGTCTGGTGATTACCCAGCCCTCTGATTTTTTGAGGTCTCTCTGCAGGGCCTCCCTGCCTTCCAGGGAGTCAACAGCTCCTCCCAGTTTTGTATCAAGAGAAACAAATCCCACGAGTACTTTCTCAATCCCAACACGGAAAATCCTCATCTTGAGGGTGGTTCTTGGATGAACTGTCTGATTACGAAGCGTTGTGGGCTCACACCAACTCCATTCCATGGCCAGGACCAAATGCAGCACAGAGGGCACACACACAGTGTAAATAATGTAAATATTTATGATACAGTTGTGACACTCAACATTTCTATCTCAGCCACGTATCTGCTGCAAGACGGGCTTGTCTCTGAGGGCTGGATGTGAAAGAAACCACTTCTCCTGAAGATGGCCTGAGGGATCTTCCACAAGTAGGACCTGAATCGTTTCTTCACAAAAGCATAGAGCAAGGGGTTGAGACAGCAGTGGACAAAGGACAAGCTCTCCGTGACCTGCATGGCATAGTCCAGCTTCCTGCTGCTTTCACAGCTCCTGATCACACCAACATCCTGCAGGGAGTGGAGGATGAGGACAATGTTGTAGGGAGACCACAGGACAAAGAAGACACCCACCAGAGTGAAGACCAAGCAGAGAGCTCTCCTGGAGCCAGGCAGCTGTGACGTGCTGAGGACACAGGCGATGCGGGAGTAGCAGAACACCATGAAGAGGAAGGGCAAAAGGAAGCCCAGGATGTTTTGAGTGACCCGAAAGACAACTTTCCAAAATAAGTGGTCCTGGCCATAATCCTGGGTGCACATGGTGGTTTTATTGTGGATTTGCCTTGTGCTGGTGAAGAGGCCATCAGGAATGGAGAGAAGTATGGAAAGGATCCACACCACCAACAAGCCAAGGATGGACTTCCTCCATGACGTGGAGCTGTGAGCAGAGCAAGCATAAACTATCTGCAGATACATGTCCAGGCTCATGCAGCTCACAAAAAAGATGCCACTGTAGAAGTTCAGAGTGTACATGGCATTTAAGACCGGGCACAAAACATCCCAGGTGGCCCCCTGAGAAACGTACAGAGCCCAGAAAGGAAGGGTCAGCAGCAGGAAGAAGTCTGAAACCACCAGGTTCAGCAGATACACCTCAGTCATCTTCTTCCTCTTCCTGATGTACATAATGAGGACGATGAACAAGAGGGCATTCCCGGCCATCCCGAGCAGGAAGACCACGGTGTAAAACGAAGGCAGGAACACTTTGCTGAAGGAGAGCACCTCCTCCTTGGTGCAGAGCCCATACTGCCCGTAATCCTCCTCGTCCAGGTACTCGTACGGGTACTCACTGGAGTTGGCACCATCCAGCCAGGGGGCTGTGATCGTTGTCACCGCTGAGGTTGTGTTTGACAAGTGGCTGCCTAAGAGCAAAAGGCAAGGGAAGGGGATCAAAGTGTTTGAATCCACACAGGAAGCAAAGACCACATCATGGAGGGTTGTCCTTTAGTTCATAGAATCCTAGAATGGTTTGGGTTGGAAGGGACCTTCAAGATCATCTCATTCCCACTCCCTGCTATGGGCAGGGACACCTTCCACTAGCCCAGGTGGCTCCAAGCCCCATCCAATGTGGCCTTGGACACTTCCAGGGATGGGGCAGCCACAGCCTTTCTGGGCAACCTGTTTCAGTCCCTCACAGCAAAGAATTTCCTCCTAATATGCAATCTAAACCTACCCTCTTTTAGTTTGAATCCATTCCCCTTTGTCCTGTCACTCTGTGTTCCTGTAAAAAGTCTCTCTTGGTCTTTCTTGTAGGGTCTCTTCAGGTACTAGAAGTTCAGAGGTTTAAATTTCTGCCACTTTCTGGTAAGTATTTTGTGTCCTACACTCCTTGGCCTTTGTTTAATTGTAAGGACAACTGTCTACACAGAAATTAAAAAAAATAAATTTTGCTTTCCTTACTTGGAAATATAAAACTTGAAAGTCAATGATCACAGACTCCTCTGACATAACCCACTACTTCCTCCTGACAAGGTTTTGAGGAAGTTTCTGCTCTCAGTTACGGGAAATCCACTACCACACCTCACTGTGAGCTGCTTATGTTCACCTGGGTCACTACTGAGGAAGGGGCATCTCAGTTCTTGGTGAAGCAGAACCTGCCACCAGCACCTTTGTGTCGGTGTGGCTGTTCCCAGAGGGGAAATTCCGAACATCTCCCTGCTCCTGGTGGGACACTGACCACTCTCTGTGTCAGCCCTAGGACACCAAGACATGGATTCCTGTAAAAAGTATTAGTAAGTGGAAAATACAGAATCAGAGATTCAGAGAATCCCAGAATGGTTTGGGTTGGAAGGGACCTTAAAGACCATCTCATTCCAACCCCCTGGGCAGGGACACCTTCCATTAGAAGAGGTTGCTCAAAGACTCATCCAAGGTAAGAACAGGTAGGCACCGGAATCAAGTCCTGAATCAAGGTTAGAGGTAGAGATTTAGCTGAAGAATGTTGTTGCAATCGATTCTGCATGAGCCAAGGCATGACCTGCACTCGGCCACTCCCCAGGACTGGCCTTAGTGTTTAGACAGCTGCAGCCCAGATGTCAGGAAACGATGAGTGATTTGCAGCTTCCTACTTTTGGATTCTGATTTTCAGAATGAAAAACCCACCACGCGAACAAGAACATTACGAGGGTTTCAAAAGAAGAGCCCATCTGCCACGGTGGGAAGGGGATCTGCCTGAGCCACCCCCTGTCAGTACCATGAAGGGTAATGTGGAGTTTAAAAATCAAGGCTGATCTCCAAACTCTGAGAGTTTGGCATGGGGGAAAAGTGGTGTAAATACCCTTCCACCTCTAAACCACACATTTTTTCAGCCATGGCCAAAGCTGCCTGTCTTTTCCTTGGGGTTCATTTTCCAGCAATCCCAAACAGGCCTGGCTGTGCAGCTCCATGCCTGCAGTTTCTCCTCGAGGACCTGTTTGTCCCATTTCCCAAGAGACCTGGAGCCACTGAGTAATGAGAAAATGAAGCTGTTGGTCCCTGGTTGTCCTCCCAAGGTGGACATATCCCATGGTGGCTCTGCAACTCCTAGGGATGGCTCCCTCCCCACAAACATCCTGGAAAAGTGGAGCCCCTCCACCTCACATGGATTAAGGAAAGCTCCCAAAGCTCGGAGTGGGGTGCTGAGGATTCCTGTGGATGTGCAGCTGCAAGGGGTGAAGCTCTGGACGTACCTGCTGCAGTCCCATGCCTAAAATTGCTTAAATACCCATCCCAGGAAATTCCAGGCAGCTGAAAAGAAAATAAAAAGTGATTTGAGCTGTGCTGAAATGTTTTCTTGCTGCCTCACAGCTCTTTGGCCAGTGCTGCAGGGCACTTCAGACAGAGCAGTGATGGAGAGCAGGGATCTGCCACGGCAGAGTGTTTGTCTGGGATTTGCCTGGGAATGAGCTTTTTAAAATTTCTTTCCTGTATCATATTTTGGAAGACACTCACCCCAGCCATATATAGCTGTGACTCTACCACATTCCTCACTGAGAGGAAAGCAAAGCTGCCCATCGTGCTGATCAAAGCAACACCCAACAAGAGTCCGAAATACCCAAAATACCCTTCCCCTCACACCCTCTGTGCCCACATCAGGACAAGGCATTCCTAAATTTTACATTTCTGGGTCTCTTCCAGCCTTTTCTCCTTCTGCCACATCTTTCTCCCTCCCTATCAGCCTGGCACTGACATCCACACCCCCGTCCTGTAGCTCAGAGCGGAGAACTGGCGAACACAATGTGGACTTAGCTCAGAAACTAATCCCAATCCCAAACTGGCCACCTTTCAAAAAGAAAGGAGAACCTCCCCAGGTTTCCTGCACAGCTTTGTCTACAAGCAAGAAGCAGAAAATGCACTTACAGGAGTTTCTTCCCCTGTTTCCATCCTGCTGAATGCTCGAATCAGGCTTTTAGGAACCTCTTTCACTCGTGCAAGAGCAAGTGGGCAGGAAATATGCACTCCCTGGTTTTGTTTTTGCCTTTCCTGGTGTTGGTCAAGGATGACAGCAGTGGATAAACGGTCTCCACCCTGCCTGAGCACGTGCTGAGACCTTGTTGTAGAAATCTGCATGTTTTCCAGGAAATCTGATTGACTCATGTGCTCTTTGGATGCAGCAGGATCCTCAACCCCTGCAAGAGCAGAAATGGCCTCTGTCAAAGGTGTTTGTTGGAGAAGGTTTTGACAGAAAAGTTTTTTGACTGAAAAGTTTTTGACAGAAGTTTCTGACACCTTGACAGAAGACATCTCAGTCAAAGTGAGAAGTTGGAGAAGTTTCAGAATATCACTGTTGGTGAGTGGTCACCTTCCTGCTTGTTTCCTCATCTCACCACCAAGCAGGGCCATGGGAACACCCTGACCGTGCCAAGGCTTTCCCTGTGCCAATCCTGGTGTGTTTTATACTCCCCAAACCACCCTGGTAAAAGTAGGAGGGTGGAGCAGCAGTGATGACCACAGCTTTGCATCCACCCTGCCCCTTGTTAAGTGGATGGACAGAGAGAAATACATTATTTTTGCCCATTTTTATGTTTGCCACCATCAGCTGCTGCAGTTAAATACACCATATAATAATATATATATTTATATAACAAATACATATGTGCAAAATAGACATCAGCAGGGAGCAAGAACCACTCACAGAGCCCAGACACTGGACATACACAGAGAGATGCTGCAAGCGACAGAGGTTTCATTAGCCCGGCAATGAAAATGAAATAAGTTTTTGTTTTTAATTGAGTTTCTGCCCTGAAGCAGGGAGTCAAATGTGCCTCTGAGAGTCACTGGAGAAAGTGGCCTTTGCTGTAATTTATTACAAGATTTTAACTCAATTTGAGGACTGATAATTGCATAGATTTTTTTTTGTTTCCTTTGACTGCAGAGCCCTAATGGCTTTGGTAATTTAAGTAACAAGATTAGGGGTAATGGGAAGCATATTTAGAGAGATGCAGCTGGAACAAATGGTTGTCTGAGCCACTTTCTCTCACGCTGCCCAAAATGCCTCGTGTGGGTGCAGGGGTGACCCTGACTCTGCTTCCCCCTGCTTGGAGATGGAGAGGCACAAACACCACACTGCAAAACTGGGCTTATAGAGAAAAGGACTTTCCTTGCTGTTTTGCCCTGATGAGCTGCCCTCAGGTTTAGGGGAGGATTTTAGGCATCTCCAGGATCCCAGTGGATTTTTCCTTCTGCTCCAGAGAATGGTTTGCTTTGAGTCAGGAGCAGCTTCTGGATTAACTCTGGGCTTCCAAATCCACTGTCTGGCACACAGCAGGTGCAAGGCAAGCTCTGCTTGAAAGCTGAAATTTGGGAAAACATAATGAGATAATCAGGAGGGAAAGGCAGAGAAGTTGTGGCTGCCCCATCCCTGGAAATGTCCAAGGCCAGGTTGGACAGGGCTCGGAGCAACCTGGGCTAGTGGAAGGTGTCCCTGCCCATGGCAGGGGGTTGGAATGAGATGATCTAACTCAAAATATAACCTGGGATTCTCAGATTCTGTGAAAATTGAGCTCTGACTTTGCCCTTTGCTGAAGAGCTTCCACCTGATGTCACAGAATCCCAGAATGGTTTGGGTTGGAAGTGATCTTAAACCCCACCCAGTCCCACCCTCTGCCATGGGCAGGGACACCTTCCACCAGCCCAGGTTGCTCCAAGCCCCGTCCAACCTGGCCTTGGACACTTCCAGGGATAGGGCAGCCCCAGCTCCTCTGGGCAACCTGTGCCAGGGCTTCCCCACCCTCACAGCCAAGATTTCTCTCCCAATATCCCATCTAACCCTGCTCTCTGGCAGTTTGAAGCCATTCCCCCTTGTCCTGTCCTCCCAGGCGCTTGTAGTGACTCGATGTCAGTGAGGGTTTATAACACCGACAAAGTTTCTGGTGTGCCAAGCCGACAAGTTGCAAAGACGTCACCGGCTGTTTTTCCCCCCTGTTTAGGACGGGCTAACCCCCGTTCCGGGCTGACCCCAGCGGCCCGTCCATCCCCGGCCGTACCCGCCCCTCACCCCCCGCACCCCCTCGGGGCCGTGAGGGGCCGCCCCGGGCCCCTCAGCGCCCCCTGCCGGCGGCCCCGCCCCCCCGCGACCGCGCCGCACTGCGGAGCCCCACGCGTGACGTCACGGGAGGCCCCGCCCCCCCGATCGTATAAGGCAGCGGTGGCGGCGGCCGCGGCAGTGATTGGCCGGCGGCGGGCGCGCGGCCGCGCGGAGCGCTGGGAGTTGTGGTCCCGGCGTGGGGGCGTGGCCGGGCCGGCCTATAAGAGGCGGGGGCGGGGCCTGGCGCGGCAGACGCGGCCGGTACCGGGGAGCGTGGGGACCGCGGGGAGCACAGGGCCGGGGGGGGAACGGGGACAGCGGCGGGACATCTCAGGTACATCCAGGGGCAGGGGCACGAAGGAGGATGAGGGGGCTTGGGGCTGGAGCGGGGAAGGGTCCTCGCGTGGGGTCCGGGAACCTGCGGCTGTCGTGGGGAACGGTCCCCGTGTGGGGCTGGGCGGGGGCCTGGGGCTGGACTGGAACAGGGTCCCCGTGTGGGGAGCTGGAGCTGGAGTAGGGCAGAGGCCCGGAGTGGGGTAAAGGTGCCTGGGGCTGGAGCAGTGTACCCTGTACCCGTGTGGGGTGTGGGGACCTGGGGCTGGAGTGGGGAAGGGTTTCCGTGTGGGTGGCAGGGCCTGAGCTGTAGCGGTGTACCCTGTACCCGTGTGGGGTGTGGGGACCTGGGGCTGGAGTGGGGAAGGGTATCCGTGTGGGTGGCAGGGCCTGAGCTGTAGCGGTGTACCCTGTACCCGTGTGGGGTGTGGGGACCTGGGGCTGGAGTGGGACAGGGTCTCCATGTGGGGCTGGAGAGGGGGAAGGCAGCCTGGTGGTGCCCAAGGCCTCCGCCTTGCCGGGAGGGATGCTGGGCCCTGTCACCTTTCCACCCATGTGCCTCCCTCCGTGGGTGACACCTCTCGCAGAGGGATCCTGTCACCTTCCCACTCGTGTTCCTCCCGCTGTGGGTGACACCTGTCACACACACCTCACTGTTGGGTGTTGGCAAGGTCAGGGCAATCAGGGTGTGTGTTTCACACAGTTTCCTCTGCCCCAGGCCCACCTTGGTGTGAGCTGAAGGTCGTGGAAACCTCTCGAGGTGGATGAATTGATTCACTTTTAATACCCTTTTCTTGTGTAAATCCCACCCCTGGCTGTCTCCCCCTCTCCTGAGTGACCGAGTGCTCCTGTTTCCTTCTCCAAATGAGTCAGGCTAAAATTATAACTCTCATTTAACAAACCAGGGCGGTTGTAGCAGGCACAGAGAGATCAAATCCTTTGGCCTGGCAGAGGAAATGGTCTGAGCCTTTAGTTTGAGAACCAGTCAGTCTGCTCACATGGGTGTGCAGGAAATGCTGCATAACCAGGGAGTGCAGCCACCTTTGAAATGTCTCTTTTGCCGATGGTTACTGGCCCCTGCTTAAATGAAATTCCTGGTAGTTTATTCGGAGAGCTTGGAGTCCTTCCATGTGCCCCTGAGCTGTGTTTTGCTGTGGAGTGTGTTGGTGGTCAAAACTGGAACAGTAACAGTGGAGACTTTTCTAGCAGAGGCCTCTGTGGTGTCGCTGGGCAGAAATCATCGTTCATTGAATGGTGTTTATGCTGACCACTGAGGAGGGAACAGGTCCGGGTGTAATCCATGTAATTCCCAGCACAAAAAGCTGGGCATTTTTGAAGGATGATCTCACTGGTTTGGTGATGATGGTTCTGTGAGTGGAGCCTTTCTCAGGGCTGTTGCTGCTTTTTATTTTCCTGGGAGGCAGGTGAGAAATCACCTGTGCATGATTTCTCCTCCTGATGTGTCCCCCACATGAGTCTGCGCCTATGGAGGGCTCCAAGACTTGCTCCAGCTCCTCAGGGGTGGCTGTTGTACATCCCTGTGTTCTCCAGGAATCTGGAATTACCCTGAGGTGGAATAGGCAGCTGAGGAGTTGCTGGGCAGGGCTGACCTTGTGCAGCGGCTCTCGCTTCCCTGTGGTTGCTGTTCTTGGCAGGGAGTGAGAGGGGAGATGTGAACTTTGCTGAGGTCAGAGCTGCCATAAAGGAACAGCCTGCGAAAGCCAAGTGGTGTGGCATGGAATTCCTAAAAGGAAAGGCGGGCAGTGGCCCAAGCTTTCTGTGGCTTCTCGCTGCCTGTGAGCGTGGGGGGGGCCACAGGAATCTGTAAAGGTGTGAAAACGAGTGGCAGAAATCTGTTGCTTCCCTATTTTTTTTTTTTGTTCTGTCCTATTCTTGCCTCTCCTGTTAAGTAACAGTCCTGCTTCCCAAGGCTTCACTTGAATTAAATCACCTGTCCATAGCTCCTTGTATCTCACTACCTGGATAGTTGTGGCTGGGGGAATACACAAGGGATTTTCTTTCCCCAAAGATTCTCTTAATTTGGGGTTTCTAAAACCTGAAGGGAGGTTCTTTGTCTTCACAGCCACCATGTCACCCAGGCAGGAATCTGTTTATCCTGAGTATGAGACTGACAGCAGCCAGACCTCAAAGCTGATAAGGAAGTTTAAGGAGACCCCGTTTGTGCCCATTGGTGAGTTTAAAGATGGGGGAAATGTGTTTGCACAGACTGGGGAAATGTGTTTGCACAGACCTTTCTCTTCACAGGCAATCGATGTGGTGTCAACACCTTCCTCCTGTGAGCAGGAAATTACTGGGAAATTACTTCCGCATTTAGGCTTGGTGATAGCAGTAATCCTTCTGCCTGGAGTGGTGTTTGTCCTGCAAGAAAGAGGGAAATTAATGAGGTCTGTCACCTTAAATAGAAAACTCAGGGCTTAAAAGAAAAAACCCCAAACCAACAAACCCTGAAATGTTTAGGTGAGCTTAGAAAATGTGGTTAAGTGATGCTGTCTGGTAAGGAATGTTGTGCAGGGTTCTGGGAATTATGTGATCACTACAAAGTGACCTTAGAGCTAACAAAATACAAACTAGAAGGATTTAAATTACAGCCAGTTTGCTAAACAATTCAGCCCTCTGCTGCTACCCATTAGTTTAAAATGCATTCTTTTAGTAGTTTTTATGTTACCCCAGCTTGAAGAGCTTGTAGAGTTCTCAGCCTCTCTGCTGAGAGCCCCTGAAGCTGCTGAGGAGAGCAGGGATGGGTCGTGTTCATCCTGAGAGCTTTCCTCTGACACCAGGCACGTTTTGATTTCCAGCCTCCTTAAATGGAGAGCAGTTGGGTCACTTGGGGTGAACTGTTCCAAGTGTTTGCCAGCAGATATCCGTCACTGGTTCCTGAGGTCACAGGACTTTGTCTCCACTTTGCTCAGGCGTACTGTGAACTCCATGAGTTCAGGTTCCCTGAAAAAGATTGGCAGAACTCACCTTTGATCTGTGTCAGAGCTGGGTTGGAGGCCCTAAAACTCTTAATTGGTGTTCAATGAAGGTACCACGTGAATTAAGGGCTTATGGCTTCCTAGTGGAACTGGTAATACTCCAGGCTCAGGGAGACAAACTGCTTGTGCTCCTGTGAGTAAAATATACACAGCACTTAAAACTCAGCAGCCACCTTTGAACTGTGTAAATAATCATCCTAAAAATTGAATGAAATGGATGGAATTGGAGAAGTCTGTGCATTCTGTGAGAGCATCGGGGTGCAGTGGTTGGAGCTGGCAAAGCCGGCGCCGTTTGCTCTCTTGAAGGACTGTCAGTGAACTCTGTCCCTGGGAAAGGGCCCTTGCTGAGCCTCCCTCCTCAGAGCTTGGGGACAGCAGCATGTGACTTGTCCTGTCCCGGTGGCACCTGGCCAAATGTGACAACACCCAAAATAGCAGCCTCAGCAGGCGGGCGGGTACGTCAGGGAGCATCCCACGCTGAGGGTCCAGCAGCAGCTGAGTGGGATTGTTGGGTGCGAGCTTCCATCCAGGAAAGGGGGTGCAAGGAGCCCCGGCTCTGTCTGAAAAATATCCAAGGAATTCTGCCACTTTGACCTGCTCTTTTGACGTTTTAATGCTGGTGGAAATCTCTTGCTCTTCCCTGCACTGACTTGTGCATTGAATGAGGTAGCACTGGAGTGGAAACAGGAGGTGGGCCAGGACTTGCCGCTACACACACAAAACCAGAGGGAAAC